TATGTATAGTATGCCTATCATTTACGTAAAAGGGGTAAAAACATATTTTAGCATTCACTTATATATGCAAAAAGAAAGAATAAGGATACAGAAAAAGCTAATAAGAGGCATTAGCTGCATATATGGTAGAAGGTTTGGGGGAAACTGGACAGATAGGAGATAGCATGGGAGGGAGGTTTACATTTTAAACATTGAAATGAAGAGATGAAATACTCTCATCTGGTGGCCTTAAAAGCAGGCCAGACTGTCACAGTCTACCGGAAGGCAGTGTCAGGTAGCAGTCCCCAGCTCTGAAGTCAGAGGCCTGGGTAAAAGACCTGACACACAGATTCCTCCTAGCCATATGACCTAGGTGGGGCAAACAGCTCATCCTGAGCTTTATCTTCACTCCTCTAGAAAATGGGGTTAACATTAGTACCAGCTCATCAATTTGCTGTGAGGATTAAATGGGATAATAGAGGCAAAGCATTTACATTCTGCTTATCACATTGTGCATAGGAACATAAAAGTTTGTACCTGCCTCTAAGCTCTCTACAAGGCCCTGGGGTTTGGAGGCATCGCCTCTCAGAGAATAGCCAGTGCCAAAAAAGAGTTATTTCTCTCTACTAAATTTTTCTTTCTATTTAATTCCTCCATGAACTGTTTGATGGGTTTCAGGCCAAGGTCAGATGTTCTGCTATACATATTACAAAGGTACAAAGGTTCAACAATTGGAAATCATCAGGGAAATGAAAAAAATCCATGCATAGATTATAGCTCCAATTTAGTAAAAGAACTGGCTTTGCTTGGAGAAGGAGGCGGCACCACACTTGCCTGCCAATATCCAACCCTTTAACAATGCCTGTCTGGCAAGCCTGAGTGCTCCAGGAAAAGGCCACCAATAAAATCCTTCCAAGGGTCTGTGTGGAGCAGGGAGAGAGGAAACGCAGTCAGCTCTTTTTTCTCCACGGGAAGGGAAGGCTGAACAACTGCACATCAGGAGAGAAGGCAAACAAATTGCCCATTCAAGCCAAAATAAGCTGCTCCTGGGGGAAGCAAAACAGCTGCAGCCAATTCAGCCAGATACAGAGGTGAGGGACCCAAACACAGAGCTGAATCTGGGGAACCTGGCTCAGGGAGGTAGGGATGTTCTGAGCAAGTGGTGGCCACATGCCCTCAGCTCACCTCTGCTGGCCTCAGTCTATGCCTACAAATGGGAGCCAGCCAGCAAGCTTTAACAAATGTGGAGGGAAATCCTGGGTGTAAAGGAAGAAAGCAAACTAGTGAACCAGCCAAGTGAGTGAGCGCTTGCTGAGCACCTATCCTGAGGCAGGTCCTGAACAGGCACTTGATGTACTGTGGCCATTTGGAAGGACAACTTCCAGGGGTGGACATCATGAAGTCAACTTTACAGATGAAAAAGCAGGCTCAGTGAGGCAGCGTGATCATAACAAGACACACAGGTAGAGAGTGGCCAAGCCAGCCATGGCCAATGGCCTCAGCTCTCTCCTACGCCCAGCTCCAGCAGTTCTTCCTTCATCTAAAGCAGAAACTCACACCACCTCACCATCCTGTCTAGCCATAGGGGCACCTGGAGGCAAACACAAAACATGTCAAGAGAAACTGAATTGGGAAACTAAGGAAGGACCTAACCAAATTGCAAAAGAGAAAAAAAGAAACCTGGAAGCACATGAAGTAACAGAGTAGAATTTCCTTCCCCAGAAGAAAGCGAAATGTGGCTGCTGTGGGGCTTGCCTCTGGATGGAACATACAGGGCCTGAGTGCCTTTCTGGGACAGTGATGGCAGAATCCTGACCTGGAACAAATCTGGGATAGCACTGTTTCCAGGGCTCCTGGGATGTCCAGATCCCCCAGATTGGGACCCCATACTCCAGTTCACAAATCCATTTTGCGGCTGTGCTGAGATCTTGCCACGGACCTGACATCCAGGGTGGGGAAGACACTTCCCTCCCTAACTCCTGAAATTCCCACCCTGAGCCTCAAGCCTTCTTGTAGTCATCTTACAATTACTTCCTTCCTTGAGGTCTTAATATATAATAATAATAACAGCTAACATTTACTGAGCCTTTACTTTTGTGCTAGGTACTGTTCTTAGACTTCGCATAACCACACTGTGAGGTCAATAAAATGATATCCCAGATGAGGTAATCAAGACACAGAGAAGTTAAGCCACTCACACAGGTTACACAGCTCGTAAGTGGAGGAGGCAGAATTTGAATCCAGGCAATCTGACCCAAGTGCTTGAGCCCTTCTTAACCACACCACCCACACTGCATCAGGGCACAGGATATGACGGAGTGGAAAGAGCAGTCTTGGGAGTCAGGCGGACAGCTCTATCATTTCTGGCTGCTGATCCCTGGGCAACCTGTTTAACACTTTTAACCTCTCAGTCCCAGTTTTCTTCTCCGTAAAGCTGGTACAACGAATATACTTTGTGGAGTTGTGTCCATTACGTAAGACAGTGGGTTCTCAGGCAGTAGGTTCTCACCCTTCTCTATTTCACCTCCCTTTCCAGTTTGATTCGTCTGTCGCACATTATCGGACATCAGGGCTGCTTCTACGCTTGAGTAAAGTTTGGCTTCTTTATAGTCTGTTCTAGTCTACTCTGTAATTCTTTCGTGCCTATCACAGGTGGGACACAGCACCAGGCACCGAAGGGGTAAGAACTCAGGGAATGAGGCTGCAGGCAGGGAATCATCTAAAACGGGCAAGGGCAAAGCTGGAGGGGAGGAGCTGGCTGAGAGAAACTAGCAACTCTTCTCCTCTAGCTTGTCTTTCTCTTCTGGCCTCCTGCCAAGGCTAACAGGCAGCTTCTTGTTACTTTCTGTTGCAAAGCTTGCGCCCTGCAAGGCACCCACCGAGGGCCTCATTCCTCCAGTGGTGGGGAGCCTCTAGCTCCCGGCTGGCAAGCAGGTAGACATGCCCAGAGCCCTGTGACTGGGCCTGCTTTTCCTCTCTGGACCATTCATTCAGCAGACTTCCAGCCAGGCCCCAGGCACTAGGGACAAAATCGGAAATAACAGATCTGTCCTCAAGAAGCTCACCAGCTTGCCCTGGTCTCCCCCTGCTTCTGATGGCCTCCTCACTTGGGTAATACTGGACATACCTTTCCCAAATGTCATCATTTCTCTCTCCCAGAAAAGAAATATTTCACTAGAACAGTTACACTAACAAGCAATTCTCCCCTTCCCTCACCAGACCAAGAGAAAAGAGAAACAAAAGGAACAGCAGGCATTTCACATACGTTATCTCACCTAATCATCATAACAATCCTGCAAGGTGGAATTATAATCCCCATAACACAGACGAGGGAAAAAACGGAAGCTCACACAGATGGTGCCAGTTTGAACCAATGCCGTCTGCCTGCAGAGTCCCTGCTCTTTCTACAGCCCCAGGCTGCCTATGTCAGTCAGCTCAGCCTGCTGCTCTGCTAGCTCTAGCTCCCTCCTTTGTCTGGACTTACTGCTTTCACAAATTTAGATTCCCTGCAATCTTTCTGTTTGTACTGGTCCCAGAGGAAGCCAGCCTCTCCCAGTCCAGTGACAGGGGCAGTAGTAGCAACATCCTAGGCACTGCCTTTGACTCTTTGATTACCTTGTCTTAACTACACCCAGGCTGAAGCAGTTCCAGTATAAAGTATCTGGTGCTGCAAAGCATGCAGATTTGCTGCTACATTTTCTAGCTTTTTCTCTGACTCCAGTCCCTTTTACTCCCCAACCCCTCTGCTGGCTGGCAGCCTCCCTCCTCTGCTGTCCTCAGTTCTGCCTCTTTGCACATCATGTTTGAACTTGCAAAGTAGTACTTCAAACTACTGCCCTACCAGGCAGCTGAGCCAGTATAGCTCAATTCCAAAAAGAGTGTGTGAGTCTCTGCTGAGAGCCAGGCACTGATCTGGGTGCAGTGAATAGGCAAGAAACAAGAGAGAAACACAGGGAAGGGCCTTGCCTCTCAGAAGATCAGGGTCAGAGGCTAGGAGAGAGAAGTAGAGGCAGGCAGTGGTGGGGTTGTAATAAGAGTGCTAAAATATCAGAGCTGGAAGGAAATTTGGTTTTCTGTTTTAACTCCTCCATTTTACAGATGGGGAAACTAAAGCCTAGAGGAGGGCAATTACTTGAACTAATAATATCAGATAATAACTAACATTTCTAAAGCCCTCACTAGTAGCTAAGCACCATTCTATGTGCTTTACATATAACTCATTTAACCCTCCACCAATCCTAAGAAGAAGGTGCTATTGCCCTCCCCATTTTAAAGATGAAGAAAATGAGACAAAGAGGGATTAAATACCTTGCCCAAGTTCACACTGCTAGTAATCGGAAGTCTGAATTGAACTCAGGCAGTCTGGCCCTACACCATGGTCTCTTTAATACACTGTGAGATGGAGACTGAGTCTACCTGTGCAAGTAGTGAGAAGGCTTCTTGAATGAATTATTTGTAGGTTTAATTATGAAAACATTGAACTTTGATTATCCAGAGCCAACTAAGAGGAAACCTCTAATAACCAGAGGTTCAGATCAAACTGGGAGTTCCTAAGGCCACTAAATACAAAGCAGTGAGGGGAGTGAGCAGAGTCCCATATTTCTAAAGAAAGAGCCAAACCAACAGAGAAGAATTTGAGAATTTGGTATAAGGGATTCATTCAAAGAACCACAAGCAGTCCAGTCCACTCCCCATTTTTATGTCTGGCTTTCTACTCATGATGTCCCCAGCCCATGAGTACTTTAATATTTTCCAGTGTCACTTCCCAAGGCAGAGAGGCCATCTCAGGTACCTTAAAAACATGCTCAAGGATATGGATAGAAATTTTCAGAAAAGGCGCTTCTAGTAAACCCTTGGTCAACCAAAAACTTCCATTTCCCCAAATCTCTCCCAAAACACACACATACACACACACACACACACGCACACACATGCACCCTGGCTTTTGGCTAACCAAGAGTTAGCCAATTCTGCCACATGAATTACAGAATAAACACAGCCATCAAATAAAAATTACTTACCAATTACCGCCAAATTATGCTCTGAGCCACAAGAGACCTGTAAAAAGAAAGAAAATAAGTTATATTAAGAGAAAGAAAATGTATAGATATTTCAGCCAGCATATTTTATGATCACAGTTATTTTCTAATGCCACTAACATTCATTTTTGGCAAATTTTAGGAAAGAAGTAAAAAGGAGCACCATATACAAAGGTTAAGACTATAATTACAACACATTCACAGCTGCATAAAACGAGAAAGTGGAAAAAAATTGAATGGAAATACACCAAGATATTAAAGTAGTTGCCTTTAGCCAGTGAAACCATGAGTAATTTTTTATCCTTTCTTCTTTCTATTTTTTGTATTTTTTCAAACTATCTATAATGAGCATGTTACTTTAAAAATGGAAAGATAAACAATAAAGATAACAGTTTTTGAAAACCAAAAAAACCATCACTCTCATCTGGACTGATAAAATGAGCAAAGGATTCAGCAGAAATAGACTGATCCACGGAGAAGTGCTTGACTTTTCCTCATCTGTCCACTCTCTGAACTTTCACTTACCAGCCACACAAACTATCTGCAGTTCTTTGAACACATCATGTTCACTCACACTTTCAGGCCTCTGCACACACTTGTTTCTCTACCCAGAATGCCTTCTCCTCTACTGCCTAATACATTTCTACTTACCCTTTAAAATCTCAAAGCATCTACTGAGATGCCTTTGCTATTGCTTCTAGGTAGACTCAGGCACCGTGTCATTATGTCATAACGACTCTTGCCATTATGTCATATGTACCCCATTGTCACAGCCATCTTGTTGCCTTTTAACATTTTTCCTGTCTCTCACTTGACTGTATGCCTCTTGAGAACAGGGCTGGAGTCTCATTCACATCTGTATTGCACAGATGAACTGTACAAGGCCTGGGACTCAGTTAACATCTGCTAAGTGAGAGAATGCATGAAAGATGCTCATGTTAGCTCCTGGCAAGCAGAAGGGTTCGGGTACTCTGTAAAGTTAATGCTGGAAGGGCCCTGGAGATCACCTACATTAGGAGGAGATGACTAAGGCATAGGAAGGGGAAATAAATCACCTCAGGTCCCAGAGCAAGCCTGTGCCAAAACTAAGACTAGACCCACCATTCTGTTCTCTACTTCCATGAGACCAGCTTTTTGGATCTGTATATGAGTGATTCCTCATTGAGTGAGATGATGTGGTATTTATTTTTCTGTGCCTGGCTTATTTCACTTAACATAATGTCCTCCAGGTTCATCCATGTTGTCACCAATGAATACAGTTAATAATAATATTTTGTATTTTTGAAAAATACTAAGAGTAGATTTTGTTTCTCACCACAAAAATGACAACTATGTGAAATAATGTGTTAACTAGCTTGATTTAGCCATTCCACAGTGCAAATATATTTCAAAACATGTTATATGTGATAAATATATACAACTCTATCAAGTAAAAAATAAAATTAAAAACAAAACTAAGACAAGAGCCACTTTGATTCTCCTAATTCTCACCCAAGTTCGTTTATTGATGCTTCTCCCTCTTTCCAATGAAAACCACTTGGAAGTAACATCCAGAGATTCTTAGCACAGGCCCCTGACAGTTAGGGTAACAGGCTCAAAAGGCATCTGAGCATTGGAAGCCAATGTGCACACTGGTAGGTGAGAAGGGGCAGCAAGGCTTCCTAGGCTTTTTTCTGTGTCAAAGCTGTGCTTCCCAGATCCCAGCTTCCACAAGGAAGAGGGCTACCACACCTGTGTTGACTCCCTGATTGTCTGGCAAAGAAGCTCCTGTGTATTTCACCCTCAGTAAGTATTTCCAGGTTGTCTAGTCTTTGAGCTCCTTTAAGGCTGACTCTGGGTCTGACTTACCTGAGGATTCCCATTATCCCTCACCCAGGGGGCCACATACACAGCACAAGTTCATTATGTGCTTCCTGGACGTAATTAGGCTGGGTTATCTTGGTATGTTACAGGAAGCTGTTTAGATTGAAGAACTGGGGGAAAAAACCTAGATTTTTAACAATAGGGGAATACTTATGTAAAATAATCATAGAGCCATTGGGTGGATTATTACACAGCCTTAGAAAATTATGCTTATAATAATAGGAACATACTCATAATATCATATGAACTTAAAAATCACACAAAACTATATATATAATATGATCTTAACTCTACAATAAAACATGAAAAAGAATGACTGAAAGGAGATACATCAAAATGTATGGTTTTTTTCTTTTTTCTATACTTTCTGAATTTTATATACAATTCTTACAATCAGGAAAAAATCTATTAAAAATAAGAAAAAACAAATATAATATAGTTCCTACTATAGAGAAAAAAACCCCAAATGGCTATAAAATATATACATTATAAAATCTGGTTTGTTTAGAAGTAGTAGGCAGAAAGAATTTGAAGGAAACTTAACTAAATTATAGGGGTAGCTGCATCACAGGGGTAGGATTATAAAATATTTTTTCTGCTATTCTCTATTTTCCTAATATTGTTTAACTGTGGTGGCAGCAGCAGTGGTGGTGGCGGCAGCGGTAACAGCAGGAATTAAAGAACCATGTATTGAGGACTCACATGTGCCAGCAGTCATGCCAAGGCAATTTATAAACATTATCACATTTTAATCATCACAATAATCTTTTCAGGTAGATTTAACTTTGCTCATTTTAGACATAAGGAGATTGAGGCTCATACATATTAAATAACCTTCACAGCTAGTTAAGCGACAGCAGTGGAACTAAAACCCAGGTCTGACTGATCTCCAAGCTAGTATTCTTTATTGCTACATCATGGTACCTTTGTTTTTTAAAAAATAAAGTTATTTCACTTTACAAAATGCATAGAGAGAAAGGGCCTGCCTCTGACTGTCAGGGTTTACCCTAAGGCTGTGGACTGCAGAGTTGATCAGCCTTAAGGACCAGGAGCTTCCAGAAACAAGCCATTGACAAATGCCAGTATCAGGCAGCAGACGCTACTCCGAATTAATGAGTGAGACAGTGATGAACGAATCTTGTCAAGCCAATGTAGAGCTTGAAGCTCAAAGCTCCCCACTGCTTCTTGTTGTCTATGCACTGGCATAGAGGTCAGGAGACTGAACACCACAGGCCACAAAATCCCAGTGCTATATTCCTTCAATTGTATCAATGACCATTGGCTTCATAATGCTCCTGTCAGCAGCTACCCACTGCCCAGCTGCAGGCAGCTTTCTAGAAGACTCTGGCAACAATGGCAATATGCCCAGGAGAAGGAGATTCAGAGCCAGGAAGCTAGGTGAGTCCTAGGTCCTCTGCTTTCTGGCTCTGAGACCCCCGGCAAGGTATTTAACCTCTTGGGCCTCAATGTTCTCAGGTATAAAAAGTACATAACAGTGTCTGTCTTGCCTGCCTTACAGAATCACTAGAGGACAAATGAGACCATTTATAAACCCTTGGCGATAAACCCATGGCGATAAACCCTTATCGCCATGCATCCCACCTTCCTTACATACAAATCTGACCATGTGATGCCCTGTACAAAACCCTTCACAGGTTCCTCGCGTTTGTAGGGAAAAGCCTAAACTACATAGTATGGCTTATAAGGCCCTTATGAGTAGGTCCCTGTTTACCTCTCTGGCTTCATTTCCTCCCTCTGCTACTCATGAACCCTCAAGCCCCCCAAAAGCGTATTCCCTTTGTGCCATTCATATCACATCACGTTGTCTCTAAGAACATCATGCAATGTCAGGCCTTTATGAATGCTCTTCTCCTTGACTTGGCATTCCCTTTCTCCCACTGTCTACCAAGGTAAGTCCTTTAAGATTACTCAAACATCACCTCCTGAGAAAGGCTTCCCTGACTTCTCAAGGCAGAGCCAGCTGCTGCCACAGCACCATGCATCATGGGCCTTAACACACGTGTGATGTCTGTTCACAGAGTGTGCATGTGTTAGGCTCCTTTGTCTCTTGGACATTCAGAAGACTGCCTTCCCAGTAGGGTCTGCCACACAGCCTGAATGCAGGGCATGGGGGCTGGTGGGTGAGCAGTACAAAGAGAAGGGACTCAGGGAAGGTATATGATCCCTAAGCAAGTGTAAGTAGCAGAGTGGCCACCACAGTCCAGTAGGAGACAGGCCCTGAGATGCACAGTGGGGGCAAGAAGGGGACAGCACTACAAGTGTGGAGTGCAGGATGCTGGGAGCATCAACAGCACAGTGTAGGTTGTTCTAGGAACTCTAGTACAACAGCGCAGAAGACCACAATAGAGGGCAGTCCTAGGAAACAGAGCCCCATTATAGAGAAAGCAGATTCCAGCTTGCTGATTAGGGCCTTTAAGAGAAGGGGGACACACCTCCCCAAGGGCAAAGGGTGGGAAGCAAAGGTGGCTGTGGAAAGCTGTCTTGTCTTAGTGCTGTCCAAATACGAGAGAGGTCTGCTCTGTTCAGAGACTGCAGCCTGAGAAGTCAGAGCTGCAGAAAACAACTTCCAAACCCCCATTGCCAGTGAGACACGATCTCCCATCCACCCGGCCAGACTCCATCAGTTCTTGTAAGGAGAGTCAAAACTCCCCTAGGGCTAGATTTTATGAAATACAGCTAGAACCACTCAAGAAGTGACTGATAATAGATGCCCAGCAAATATATGCTGAATGCATTAACAGGTTAAACAAATGAATAATTGAATAAGAAAAAATAGATGAATGTGAAAATATTTGCCAATAGTTGCATGTGAGTACTTTAGTTCCCAACAGTACAGTTGCACCATTTGTAGAAACAGCTGACTGACCTTACAGAGTACTTACGGCCAGGCACCCGGCTAACTGCTTTGCCTGTATTATCTCCTTTAAACTCATACACAACCTAAACGATTCTTTTGTTACAATCATTTTTACAAACGAAGGCACCCAGGTTCAGAGAAGTAAGGTAACTTGCCCAGTGTCATACAGCTACTGGAGGTGCAGGATTCCATGATCCTTCTGATTCAAGCTTTCTGTCCCCTCAACGGTCTTAGCCCTTCCACTTCGCATACAGGATGGAAATAAACCACCCACCCAG